ATGCCACCCTCCACCACAAAAGGTTTCAGCTATTTCCAGAAGCTTGGCAATCACAGTGAGTATTTTCTGGGAAAACAAAGAAGAGTTGTCAAATCAAGAACAGTGGGTGATAAGATCCACCACAGCCACGCTGAGTTCCTGAGAGAGAGCAGCTTCCCGAAGCTCTGGATGAAGCTGCATCCTTCCCACTGCAGCTCACCCACCCAAGGCAAGAAGGTGCCCTCTGTTCACACACAGCCCAATGTGCATCCACTGCAGAATTCCAGCGAGGCCATCCTGGCACAAACTGCAATGCTTGACATGAAGGATTTGCCTTCTAATCACAATAAGCAAGAGTGGGTACGTGCAAGTTTGCAGTTGTACCTGAACTGATGAGCAGCACTGATGAAAAGGACCATAAATGTTTGTAGGAAGAAGAATACGTGCATGAATCCCAGACAAAAATCAGGGTAGTTTATCTCCCTGTTCTCAAAACACAGGGACTGACCTACAACACTCTCTAGTCAGGCACATTCCACAAATCTGAGATGTGTCAAAAACTGTTGGACACTTGGGATCTTGCTCTGGGAATACAAAATTGAGGTTATGTACAGTGCCACTCTCACAGGCTGAACAAAATCTGCTGAGGGTTTTGTGGAGGACAGGCTTTATGTAATGATCACATTTTTAGTTAGTGAGGTTATTTTTAGGTGCATCACCAGTCTGTTAGGGGAGGGAGAAGGGAAGTAAACAAGCCTGCAATGTCTAGGACAGGCACTGTTTCATTCCTGTAGCTGTTTGGCCATTTCTAGAAATGGCTTCACCTTCTGCACGCTCCACACTGACAAATGGCATGCAGCAATAAATAGCACAATGGGATAGTGTGACCTCTTGCCCCTTGATTTGGCTGCTTGGCAAGAAAACCTTGATCAATGGGCGCTGGTGACACTGTTCCCAGCCATGCCAGGATGAGCTGAGCCGCAAAGAAAAACCTGGCAAGAGTTACCCCAGACAAAATGCTTAAGAAATACCTTTGTCTCTTCTTACACAAACTCACATTCTGCAGAATCCACGATGAGAGTCCAGATTAACATATCTAGTGTTAAGCTAAACTCAGCCATCCATGTGACACTCAAACTTTTAAATTTCAGCACAACCATTCATATACCACACACATACCAAGGGCCTTCCCAAGACACAGCCACTCACACACACTTCCATGGCTAAACCCCCCAAAAAAGAGACACTCAGAACCTTGTTGTAATGCATGCACCGTGTTTTTGACTATGAAGTAATCATTTTACTGAGACCTCTCAGTGTCTGGTGTGTTTTCTCTGGTTTTAGCAGTTGTTCTCACACTTGAGGCACGTTCTCTGCTCACCAGGAGAGGTCACCACACACCTCAATAACCAAATGTTGATGGGATCTCACAGGAGGGACCTTCTGGTTGGGCTGGGTAAATGTCCCAGCTGAAAACAGCTGGGGATTTGCCATGTCCACGCTGCCCACAAAGGGTTCTCTTTGTCTCTCCTGTCAGAAGTTAGGAAGTGCAGACTGACGCCACAACTTCCCTGTGTGCAGCTGCTCCCACGGAAAATCCAGCCTTTCTACAGCAAGGCAATAATAACATGTAGACAAATCAGACCTCAGACCAAGCACCAAAGGTGTCTCATAAAACACAGAGAAGGAAAAACTTGGATTCTGAGCAGTTTAGTGCAAGATCAGCCTATGAATTTCTGAGATCCAGCTTAAAGATCATGGGGAAGCAAGAATGGCTGCCACAGGACTAAAAAGACCTACGTGGCTTAGAAGCACAGCTAATCCATGTCTTGGCTGGAGTGTGAATATCTATTTGTCTATGTAGACATTCCCACCTTTCCAAAACAAGATGAACTGATGCTGCTCATTTTGCCAGAGATGAATCTTAGCCAAAAAAGGAGTTTCAGGTGAGGATTTGTGGAACGTGAGTGCTTCTTTAGGCCTCTGCCTCTCACCAGGCTCTTGTGCCATTGCTCTGAATTCCTCAGCTTGTTTCCTGTTTGTTTGAGGATCCATGTTAGGCTCTCCCCTCCATCACTGCAGCTTCCCTGCTGGGCTTCATTAGCATCAGAGGAAGGTGATAAATGTACCTAACAAGCCTAAAACTAAAATCTTGAGATCAAAACCCGGTTCTCCAGAACCACCTACAACCTGCTACTAAACACCAGCCTGCTGCCCTCCTTGTCCTCAGGTGGCCTTGGGCCCTTCTTTTGCCAAAGGGCTGGAGAGGAAAACATCCCCTCTCCATCCATTCAAAGAGATCAGTGAGCATTAATTAGTGAGCACGGAACAGACCAAAGCAAATACATCCTTGGCACACCCCAGAGCAGAGCAGTGAGCAGAGAGCTGGGTTCAGGGCAGCGAGGGGACACCGGGCAGATGTCAGAGCTAAATGTTAAAGCCTCGGTGAGGGGCCCCTGGTGCCAGCTTCCCTCACAGATTCTGAGATTCCCACTGCAGAAACGTCACTGCCCTTTCAGCCAGCCAGGGAATGTTGGCCTGAGCAGCTGGGGAGGAGAGGGAGGCTAAAGGGGTCACTGAGCCAGGGAGGAGGGAGATGAGTTATTGCAGCAGTGCTCTCATGATACCTTTCCTAAGCCCAAGATGTGCTATCAGCTTCAGAGCTCAGCTTCCTCACAGGATGAGGACACACATCACACAATTCCAGGATCAGAATCTATCCCCAGAGGAATAGTTTGCCCAATCCTGCTCTTTAATCAGATTTCTGATGATACAGGAGAAATATCTCAGGAAGCTGGGAAACAATTTGTTGTTGGAGATGAGCAACACAACCTGCTGTCTTCTTGATTCTTCCTTCCATCCTATATGAAGGACTTGCCATACAAAGGAACACTTCAAAAAGGGACACAAAGCCATTTCCTACCTCCCAAATATTTTCTGCTGTCCTCAGGGTTTCCTCCCTTCTCCTAGGCTGATGTTTGTGCTGAAGTCTCTGTCTTAGCTGCACCACCTCAATGATAAATCTCTGTGAATATTCAGACATTGAGTTTGATGCTCATCTGAGCCCTGAGAAGATCTGGAATGTAAAGCAGAGACATTTGCTGGATGTATTTCTGTTTCTAGCTACTTGCCACTGCACCAAACCTGATCTGAACCCAGCTGTGGGTTACCTGGACTGAAGCTGCCCTTGCTGCCTGGGTTATGCAGCACTCTGAAATACAATCCCATGGAATGGCATTGTCTGGGGAGATGGAACATCTTTTTGTTGTGCTTATGGACAGCATCCAGCTGCAGTGCATTGAGAGACAATGACACAAATGGCAACAGGAAAAATTCCAAGTAGATATTAGTAAATCATTGTTACTTGAAGGTTTCCAAAATTCAGCTTGACAAGGCATTGAGAAATTTTGTCTAAGCTGGCTCTGCCTTAGCACAAGATTGCACCACAGACTTCTAGAAGTCCTGTCCAGCCTTAATTATTATTTTACCAACATAGTCATAGATGAGGACTGTACTAGTGTATGAATGTCCAGCAGCAGCCAGAGACAATTCAGCAGAGCCCCAAAACAACTTCAGAGATCTTGAGGTCCAGAAGATTTATTATCCACATTATACAGACCTGTGACAAGCCAATCAAAGCAACAAAACAATCCTGGGCTTTTGGAGAGGGGAAAAGATGAACCTGAAACTGCTCTGACCTTTTCTTACTGTGTTGTTACACTGACAAGTGCACACCTCAAACCTCTGGGACGATGATTTCATTTACTAATAATATTCATCTCAAATGTGCTTTTCACAAACATCAAGAACAAAAAAACCCCAACAATATAATAACATCAGACATCCCTTTCTGTCACAGAGGGATGTTTTTAAGCTGTTTCCTTACAACACCCATTTCTAGAGACACTTAAAATTATGCCTCAAACTGATCTGCCCATGAAAAAACATTGAAAACATTAAACTTGCTGGCACATCACAGAATTACAGGATCAGCAAGTTGATACTGAAAACTGGTTTGCAAGCTTTCAGTAAGTCAAATATCAGATGAAAAATGCCAGATGGTCCTTAATTTCTATTTTCTCTGTTGAGATCCAGCTTGATGGCCTTTAACTCTGTGCATCACATGTGTGCAAAAATGCTATGAAAGGGCAAGAAGTATTATTGCATACTCAGGAACATTTCCATTTTTCAGTGAAGCCAGATTTCAAGCCTGTTCTTCCTTTCAGACTGATTGCAAATTTAATATAAATTGTGTACAATAGACTGAGAAAGATCACATACAGGAACTATTTTAAGCTGGATCCAGGGAAAGAGGAATTTCTTCCTCAGCTTAAGCTTTGTAGAAGCTGTCTGTGCATGTCAGTCTGGTTTTGGTCACACTCACAGTCATTCAGGCCAATAACCACTGCAACTTGTCATATCTGTAATACTTGATTTTTCCTTTCTTCTTCACACTCTTTCACCTCTTCAGTCAATAACATCATATTAATAAGTTCTGTTATAATGTTGTGATATCATTATTATGTAATAACACTCAGTTCTTACACAGCCTGTTTTCTTAGCCCATCACTCTGGTTTGGTGCTTGACAGTGACAAAGGAGCCAGGTGAATGTGTGGTGGATAGCATTCACCTCCTTTCTCACTTTATGGTTCTCTCACAGTTGTTTTTTTCTGGATGAAAAAGAAAGGTTTAGCAGTCAGCCCAAGGAACACAGAGCTCTGCTCACTCATGTACATCAGTGGCACCAAAGCAGCAGAATGATGCTGCATTGCCTAAGTGGAAAATGCTCCTTTAATTCACCACCAGAAAAGAGAACTATTTCTTCCCTCCTCCTCCTCTTCCTCCTCCTCCTCCTGGGTGGATGAAAACAGATCAAAACCTCAAACCAATCCTTGCTCTAGAAGGAACTCTAAAGGTAGATTTGGGAGGGGTTGGAGGAAAATATAAATGCTGATAGCTGGAGACACAGAGCAGCACTGAACTGGAGAGACTTAAGGGAAGAGGAATCAGAGACACCAAAATGAATCTGAAACTTCTTTTTTCCCCTGGATTCCTTCTGCTGCTTATTGTCAGTCAAAACCAGGCAGGAGCCAGATCCATTTCCAGCTTACAGGTAAGTGATGGGCTGCTCAAGAGATTCTTCTTTAGGAATTAGACATGTCAGATGAGCTCTGTTTCTTCCAAACCATCTAAAAGAGACATCATGACAGCAGAAATGCTGAGATGGGCAGACACAAAGCTGTTAAATGGAGGAAACTAAAGTGATTGATCACTGGATTTAAATTTCTAATCACATGAGGCAACTGAAAGGAAAATATTTGGGTTTTTTTCCCTGTGGGTTCAGTTAGGGGATTGTACATTTAGGCTCATCCTGTTACTGAGTGTAAGAATAAGCTTTTGGAGTAAAAGAAATTATTCTGGAAGGACTGTGGTCTAAAGCCCTAGAGCAGTCACCTGAATGCTCCTCCCTGAAGCCCCCAGTTTTAGCTGAAAAAGGAATTAAGGGGCTGTACCTGCAGGATCTCCTCCTCAGCTCTGCAGAAATGCAGCCCCTGCTTGTGACTACCAGGTGTAAAATAGAAGAAAAAGTGTGTATGTGTACCTATGTGTATTTGTCTGTGCAGGAATTCAAAGTCATTAAGAAAAAACATTTTAGTTTCTGCACTAGGGAGCTGGAATTGCCAGTGTGCAAAGAAATGAATAACATAATCCTTCAGAACCAATTTCAGCATGTCTCCTGCCATTGCATTAATTCTCTTAGATATCAACTAGTTTTTTTTCTTGTTCCTTATTCACACTTTATCAGGCCTTTTTCAAATTTTTCATCATTTATCCCATAAGCCCAATTCCAGGAAAGACTTCACTGGCAGTCTGACAGCTCAGAAATACGTCCTCAAACTTAGCACTGAGTATGGCTTATATGGAAATAATGAGAGTTCCCCAAACCCCTCCTTCCCTTCCCTTCCCTTCCCTTCCCTTCCCTTCCCTTCCCTTCCCTTCCCTTCCCTTCCCT